AAAGCAGCCACAAATACCCCACAATCGCTGCATAAGACACAAAAATTTAATTATTTAACAAATGATTATAAAAAAAAAAATAATTAACCATCTAGAAAGAGAGAATAGTTTTTTTACAGTGATCCTTCCTTTTGCTGTGGAATCTCCGCAACCAACCACTGTATGTTGAGAGGGTCTGTAACTGATTTCTCAATGTATGCCTTTGTGGTCTTGAAGTCAATGTCTTTACGCTTACCATAGAAACCAGTGCAAGACAAATACAGAGGGATAATGATTGAAAACTTATCAACACATGATTCAACAGCATTATGATTGTGTGAAGACACCATGGAATCATACACATAAAGTTGCCTGTCCAATGCTAAAGATTTTAACATAGTACTTAATGAGGGCCCCGCAATTTATGTGTTTTATGCAGCGAGGCTCGTCTCAGGTTTATTTAAAGGCCATCCTAAGGAACCTATGATTTTTCTATTACATTTTGTCTCTAAAAGGGCTTTACAATATGAGATTCGGGTTTTCAAGTTCAAGTCCGGATTCAAACAAAAGGGTAAAACCTTTTAATTTAAAACCGCAACCTAACTCGAAAGCCCAATTTATATTCCATTAAGCTATGAACTAAGGTCTTCAAACCAAGTCCCAAAACAGAGAATCTTAATGGAGCTCGGATGAAGATCGATCAAATGGGCCTGCTCGGGGGCCCAAATCGAAACTGAATTGAATCCACAGGTTGAAATACAAATTCACATGGACTGTTGTTGAAGCCAATGCGACAGGGCAAGATTAGTGACAATTTTATCCAAAAAACTAAGAGTTCAGATTAGCATATGCAAACAGCTCGATTCCATGGACATCTTTTAATTCCGATCTATATTTACACCGGACTATACATCTAAACGTTAGGCGTGGATAATAAGCAATTGATTTCAAATTTAGACGCGTGAAACTCATATTTGATCGCAATTTCAATCTGATTTTTACATTTCTGGGCATGCAATCTTGTCACATTCAGTTTTCAACCAGTAAATTAACAAGTCCAAATTCATACTACTGCTGTCATTAGTTAAATGCTCACAGCCATTCATATGTCGAATTACTAACTACAAGCGAAGATCTAAATCGACTTCTACCTGTATACCATTGCTAACATCGACAGTTAAGCTAATCATCCAAATACAAT